CTCTACTGGTATTGTATACAATTTGGTTGGAGACAGCACCGGAGCATCAAAAGACCAGGAGCATTGAGTGCTGGGACCTGGGACGTATATATATATATATATATATATATATATATATATATATATATATATATATACACAATACCAGTAGAGAGAATCTTTCAAGGTAAATTTCATCTGTTGCTTTATTGAGCAATTACAAATTCACACAACGTTCCAGTCGACGTTTCAGTCTGTAAAATACTTTTTTCATATTTTTTTTTTTACACTTATTAAACTTTATTTTATTTTAATTCCAGCCAGCAGGGGTCATTACAGGCAGTCCCCTTGCTGGCAATGCAGCAGCCAGCTATCCCAGCCATGTGATTGTGAGGTCCTCGCAAGGACCTCACTCTCACATGGCTGGGGGGACTGCAGGAGAGAAGATGTGCCGCGGGGGGGCTCCCTGGCAGTCCCCCCAACCGCGATCGCCGGCATGGGATCGCCGGCGACCGGGTAAGTAAACAAAAACCGGAGGGCGTACTATTACGCCCGGTGGCATTTAGAGCCGCTTAAAATAGGGCGTAATAGTACGCCCTCCGGTCTTAAGGGGTTAAGCCACACTGTATTTACATTCAATCTTAAGAATGCAGCAACATTACAGTGTCCCACAAACAATGCTTGACATCTTAAACAAGCTACAGTGGGATCTCAGTTTACGAATTTAATGCGTTCTCCGGGACGTTTCGTATTGCGAAAAATTCGTAAACCGAAACATGGTTTCCCATAGGAATGCATTGAAAACCAATTAATGCGTTCCGGAGGTGAGAAAAAAAGTCAAATAAAGTATTTTATCTGTTCAAAACTCTTTATAAAGTGCACTTTAAAGTCATAAATACTGTACAGGGACATGATTAATCAAGCAACATTTCAAATATCCAACTTTATGTTTTAAAACATCACACATCAACTTTTAAAACATGGCAGACTGTTGGTAACATGGTACAGTACACTTCAACTGTACATAAATCACACGTCAACAGGGAAAACATGGAAAATTTCAAAAAATTTTAACACTTTTTGGAAGATGAGGAGGACAAGGGCAATTGGGCAGCACTAACAACAGCAGGTTCTTCTTCATGTCTAGGCTGTTTTTGTAGGAACCTTTCCATTGTCTGCTGCCTCTGGCACCTTTTAAAGGACCACTATAGTGCCAGGAAAACATACTCGTTTTCCTGGCACTATAGTGCCCTGAGGGTGCCCCCACCCTCAGGGTCCCCCTCCTGCCGGGCTTTAGGGTGAGGAAGGGGTTAAACTTACCTCTTTCTCCAGCGCCGGGCGGGGAGCTCTCCTCCTCCTCTCCGCCTCCTCGGCTGAATGCGCATGCGCGGCAAGAGCTGTGCGCGCATTCAGCCAGTCTCATAGGAAAGCATTCACAATGCTTTCCTATGGATGCTGGTGTCTTCTCACTGTGAAAATCACAGTGAGAAGCACGCAAGCGCCTCTAGCGGCTGTCAATGCTATGAAACTGCTATGTTTATAGAAAAAAGGGTTAACCCTAGCTGGACCTGGCACCCAGACCACTTCATTAAGTTGAAGTGGTCTGGGTGCCTATAGTGGTCCTTTAAGCATCCCTTGGAAAGGGGACATGATGTCTGTGTCAAAACTGCTCACAGGTCTGAGAGCTAGAGCCTTATCTGGGTGGTGCTGCTGTACAAAAGTCTGTAGGTTTTCCCACATTTGGCATGCCTCCTTGAGTTCCGTGGAAGAGAGCTGTTCCTCACTCATTTCCTCCTCCTCCTCAAATGCGGTCTGCTCCTCCATCGCCTCCTTCTGCAATTCCACCAGTTCCTCGGTGGTTAGGTCACGGTTCGTGTTCCTCCAACAGCTCGTAGACAAACGCATCAGTCACCTCCAGGCCCATGGTCCTCCCCAAGGAAACCATTTCCTCCAACACTGTTGACTCTGGTGCAGAAGCACTAGAGGCAGGTTTCACAACACAGTCTGGCTACAGGTTGTGCCAAGCAGAATTTAGGTTTGTCTGGCTGACCCGGCCCAGGCAATGGTGATAATCTGCAGACAGCCCACAATGTCAAAATGCTCTCTCCAAAATTCATGGAGGGTGAGGCTTGAGCGATCTGTCATCTCAAAGCATCGCCGGAAAAGCTTCCTTGTGTAAAGTTTTTTTTAAATTGGAGATGACCTGCTGGTCCATTGGCTGGAGTAGTGGGGTGGTTTTAGGTGGAAGGAACATGACCTTGATGAAATTAAAGTCCTTCAGCAAGTCTTCCTCGAGGCCTGGAGGATCGGCAGGAGCATTGTCCATGAGCAGCATGGCCTTGAGTGGCAGGTTATTGTCCACAAGGTACTTCTTCACAGCAGGACCAAAAACCGCATTGACCCACTTCACAAACAAGAGGCGTGTGACCCAAGCCTTTGGGTTAGACTGCCACAAAACGCTCAACTGCTCCTTGTTCACCTTGTGTTTCTTGAAGGCCTGTGGGTTCTCTCAAGCAGGGGCTTGATCTTAAGGTCCCCACTGGCGTTGGCGCAGAAAAGGAGGGTGAGACGGTCCTTCATCGGCTTGTGGTCAGGCAATGAGGTCTCCTCTTCTGTGATGAAGGTACGCTTTGGCATCCTCTTCCAGAGGAGTCCAGTCTCATCGCAGTTGAAGACCTGCTGAGGAAGGTAGCCCTCTGAAACTATGACCTCCAGGAACTCCGTAGCAAATTCCTCAGCTGCAGCAACATCGGAATTTGCAGCCTCTCCATGTCTGACCACACTGGGGATGCCAAATCTGGTCTTGAACCTTTCGAACCACCCCCTGCTGGCCTTGAAGCCTTCTGTATCTGCTGACATTCCTGGCTGTTGTTTGAGGAGGTCAGCGTGCAAGGCCTTGGATTTTTCGCAGATGATCGCCTTGGTCACAGAGTCCCCTGCACGCTGCTTCTGTTCAATCCAGAGCAGGAGCAACTTCTCGACCTCCTCCAGAACAGGTGGCCGTTGCTTGGAGACCCTGGTGACTCCCTTGGCTGCATCTCTCCCAGTTATCTTCTATTTCATTTTTAGGATTGTACCGATTGTGGATGCACTCCTGCCATACTCTTTGGCGAGGTTAGTCAATCACATTCCTCTTTCATGCTTCCTGATGATTTCTTTCTTGTCCTCAAGCATAATCATCTCCTTCTTTCTCTTCCCAGCTTCCGCTGCTTTCTTGGGTGCCATGACACCACCGTCACTAAGTATGCAAAAAAAAAAAAAAATGCTTTACACCCACATGAGCTAGCATGGAAAACAACCCCACAAGGAACACACAGTAAAAGGCATGCACAGCACATGAGCTGTTACAGGCATGCACAGCACATGAGCTGGCATGGAAAACAACCCCACATTGCAAAACATAAAGTGCAGTACTGTAACAGGCATGCACAGTATATGAGCTGTGACAGGCATGCACAGCACATGAGCTGGCATGGAATGCAAACCCACAATGCAAAACACACAGTAACAGGCATGCACAGCACATGAGCTGGCATGGAAATCACCCCACAATGCAGAACACACAGTAAAAGGCATGCAAACAACTAAGCTCAGCTCCCCTCTTGAGATGCACCAAAAAAAGGCTCCAAAACTTGCTGCAAATGGCTCCAAAACCTCTCCAACACCTCCACACTCACGTGCTTCCCAGACTCCAGTATGCAGGGGGCGGAGCTCTAAACCAGGACATTTGTTTCGTAATGCGAAAAAAAATTGAAAACCAAGGCTTTTTTTTATTTTTTTTACGAATTCTCATTCGTAAACCGAATTTTTCGTTTACCGAGGCGTTCGTTAACCGAGGTTCCACTGTATTTTGACTGGAAAAGTATATAGAAATTCTGCATAAGAAGTGCATTAATAGTCTATTCTTTCATGTTTCCCCAAAAACTTACAGTTATTACTAAAATCATGATTTATTTGGAATTATATTCACATGGGTTTTGCACATTTAAGGCCAAAGTCATCTTTTTTCCAACTTAGCTATGTTGATTTTAAAGAGGCACTCTAAACAACATAACCACTACAGTTTGGTGGTTAGGTTACCTTGAGTCTCGGGGCCAAATTGTTTAAGAACATATTGATTCAATAAGACTGGATAGTAAAATGAAACACTAATATTGAGTCCACGCCATCAGAAATTTCTCCAAATTACATGGCACAGAAAAACATGTCCGTTTAATTGCCTTACCCTCAGACTGCCATCAGCCCAATGGTGCATGAAATAATTTTTTTTTTTTTGCTTTTTGTTTTCGTTTTTAATTTACATTTTCATCTAGAAAGAAAATAGAATACAAAATAACGCAATCAAATAACACAGATGCAGTAGAATGGATAGTTGGTCAATAGGTCTCTTGTCAGGTGCAAAGGCAAATGTGGTTAAAATACAGTAATAATAATGAAAAATAAGGGATCACTCAGGATCCATGTGGAAGAACCACACATGGAAGTTGTGCTATAGTGGTAGTATGGCGCCATCAATGAACACAGTAATAGAGAACATGAATTAGGTAAAGGATAACCGGTAGTCGAAAGGAACCAAGAGGTCTAACTCTATGTGACCATGTTGTGGGAGGTAGATGAAGGATATTGATAATAACCAGTAGAGTTTGAGATTTTAAATTGTGCCAGTACTTGGCAATACCACATCTCCTGAATCATGTCTGAGAAAAGAATGGGCCAGAGATCAAAGGGAAGAGAGAAAATGGATGTCGGGGAATAAACTACATACACAGGAAAAGAATGAGAAAGAAAATAAATATTTATTGATGATGTAGTATGATGACCGTTAATGTTTAATGCTCTGTGCTGATCTATCTAGTTGAACTATCAACTTATTCACTCACTCTATGTTTTTCTTTGTTGTTATTGTATTGTAGATTACCTTTTGGGTATTTTTCTATATTACTTTGAGGACTAAGAGGAGTCTGTGAAGAAATCACCAAGTTTTTTCATTTATTTTACTTTGTTCCATTCGGTAGATGTAACTACTGAACACCGACCACCCCCCGGGCTCATTAACTTCAAAGCGCTATGGAATCTGTTGGCGCTATATAAATGGCAATAATAAATAAAGAGAACAGTCATTTAAGCACTCTCCCTGTGTGGACGCCGTTCATATAGTCGAACGCCACGTGTATGAGAAAGCGGCAACAATCTTGTTCACACGAAAGGAGGCAGCGAGACTTGGTCGTCGAGTGTCTGGAACTAAAATCGACTTCCCGAACTCCAGTCCATACTGTACGAACGCCTGCTTCCTTTTCTCGAACAACTAGGAGAGCGCTGTTCGGTAGTTTTGTTCCCATGAACTAGGGGAACAATCGCTACTATGAGCCAGGGGGAGCAGTATGTGCTTTTATTCAGACTTTTTTCAGACTTCGCAAAATAGACCAGCCAAACCACTAAAACATATGGAACTGTTTTGGGCAGGAGCCTCGTGTCACCTAAGACTTCCATGGAATTCGAAAAACCCTGAACTGATCTGGCTGATTTTTGGATATGTTGGTCACCCAGATCAGGGCTATCAGGGTATATGACTTTTATGAGAATATCATATGTTTTAGAGTACATTTCACGTTTTGGGGAAATTGTGAATTTTCTGCTTGGAGATAATTAAGTTATCATTATGTTGACCTAATTATCTCCAGGCAAAAATGAGGGGATTATATGTTTGCATTGGGAGTGTCACAGTTTTACCCTGTATTATTATTGGCTGTATAATTTGTGTCCCTGTGCCCCACAAGGTCCACGTGGGAGGTCCCCTTGCATGGGGACTTGCATAAAAGCCAGTGTGGCACCCATTAAAATTCAGTTCTGTTACACCCTTCATCTAGACTTTGGCCTACTACCTATCTGCTTTACTGGGAGAATCTACTTAGGAAGCTGTTTATTCGTATGGAGAATCGCTTACTTTATTTCCCGAACGGCAAGTTAGAATCACTCATGCTCTGGCCGTTCGGTAGGAAACTGACAAACGGGTATAGGAGATACCAGCGTTCATTACAGAGTCCTTATCTACAGTACTATCAGTGTAAGGGTAACTGTCGTGAATTTTTTACCTTTTGCCCACTGTGTGTGTGTGCTTTATCCACCATGATGGCATTGAAGAATGGAACATCAATGTGGATTGTAAAATGCATTGTTACAATAAAATCTAACAAAACAATCTCATAACTAGACTGTCAGGGCTTACCTGAGTTGGGAGTCCAGCATGCAGAGATATATGCTCACCCGTGCAAGTAAACACAGGCTGAGGTGGTCAGGTAAGAATTCACCTGGCCTGTGAGTCGGTGCACGGGAGCTGTGCAGGATAATTCTCCAAGTCGCAGTACAGGAACGGATAAAGCAGGAGAATCGTTGTGGGAAGCCAAAGGTCAAAGGATGCCAGAAATCAGAATCAACAAAACAAGCCGAGGTCAAGAGATACACTGGATAACAGGAGACAGCAAACCGATAACCAGAGTCAAGGAACTGACTCTTCGTTAGACCATCATCTACAGGTGTACCAAGAGTGACAGGAGTAATTCCAATGCATGTCCAGCCCCCAGTGCTGGATACTAGACGGGGCAGGAATGAACTTCCAGACTGAAAGCAAGAACCAAATGTGGTTCAGAGGCAGAGACACAGACCAGGAATGCACAAGACCTCAGTTTCAAGTCCCTTGTTGGGCTCTTCCAGGGCGACCACGTCTCGCTGTCTGTATGTTGCGGTGATAACCGTGACAGTACCCCCTCTTTAAGAACGACCTCTGGGCGTAACTAGGTTGTTCATCATTGTTTTCCAGATCGGAAGTACCTTCCTCCTCCGAGAGATCAAAGATATCATCTGGCAGAGGGTACGTATTTCCATAGTCATCCATACCTTACATACGGCCCTCCTCCAGAAAAGAAGGAAGCACCAACTGCAACTTTTGCTCTAGCCATTCTCACAGGAGAGGCATTCGCAGCTTTCAATGCTTCCTTGAATACTTTTAGATCCTGTTTGCATACAACTGTGCCATTTGAGGCATACGTGCAGTCAGGTGGTAGAACTTTCTTGGCCATGCAGGAAGTGGTGATGGTGCTTGCTTGAACAGTAGTGTTTTCAGGAAGAGGTACAGATGTTTCTGGAGCAGGAGGTGGAGATTCTTCAGGGGTACTGGTAGCTGATTCTAGAAGAACACAGGTTACATTGACTACAGTTGTTTGGGTACCTTTTTGTGTCACAGAACGTGGCCTGGGCTGGCAGTAACCTTGGTGGATTCTTGGCTGTGTCTTCAGGATAACAGGATGGCAGCAGACAGTGCCTACTTGAACAGTTTGAGGCAGAGGTTGCGGTGATAACCGTGACATAGACAAGGCTAGTCTAAGTGATGGTTTGTGGGCTACTGTTCTTCTGGTTGAGAGGTCCCTTTCAATAGCCACTAGTTTAGAGGCCCAGCAAGGTTGCAGATGTCACAAGAAGAGTTGTGTTTACATCAGTGTTTCTTTACTGTAATGTTTACAGCTGCACTGGGCCTCGCAATAAGTTGTGGCTAGAATTATTTTCCCAAGTTCCCATACGATGGTCATGTTCCATATATGGAGAACTGTAAAAATGCAAAACACCACAGTGATTCAATAAACCAGAAATTGCAATTATAGTTCAAATTAACTAAATGGAAAAATCCCCCGATGTCTTTCCACCTCATTTTGTCTTAATGTTTACATTCACAGTTTAACCCCTTAAAGCTGTTACGGCGTTCTATGCCGTTGCGGCTTTAAAGCCGTTGCGGCGGCATAGAACGCCGTAACGGCTTCAGCCCCCAGGAGGTGAGATCTACTCACCTCCGCCGCGATACTCTTCTGGAGGGCTGCCTGACAGCCCAGGCAGCCCTCCCCCGGCAAATGAGGCCCCCGGGGGCCATGTGATCGCTCTCAAAGAGCAATCACATGGCCCCCTATAGCTGGATGTGGATCTGCCAGCAGGCGGGCTGTCTGAAATATCAGACAGTCCACCTGCTGGTAGGTAGTGTAAAAAAAAAAAAATTAGACATGTTTAAAATTAAATTAAAAGTATTATATATATATATATATATATATATATATATATATATATATATATATATATATATATATATATATATATATATATATATATAGCTTTCAAGTAGAGAGCACCCTGGAGTCTTCGTTTTATATCAAAATAAATACTGCTTTATTGTGCAGAATACAAAAATGTCGACGTTTCAGTCACAATAGACTTTTCTCAAGACTTGTGTTTGCAATAATGAGAGTTATTTGTATTTTATATATAGATATATATATATATATATATATATATATATAGAATGTCATTCTAAGTGTATTTTGTTACATATATATATATATATTAATAACAAAATACAGTTAGAATGAAATTACATATGAATATATAATTTATATAAAATTTTGTTTCAATATTTTATTTATTTTATTATTGTAATTATACATATATATATATATATCTATTATTATATATATGTAACGTCATTCTAAAACACAAACACCAGTGTTTGTGACTAAGTGGCTACTAAAAAAGACTAAACATACCCCACTTTCAATACCTTGGGTTGTCTACTTTTTCAAATGATATGCCATTATGGGGGTAATTCTCATTTCTGGGCTACCAAACCGTCTCAAAGGTAAGATTTCTAATCTGGCAAATTTTAATTTGAAAATGGAACGTTCTATATTTGACACTGTAACTTTCCAAAACACCATAAAACCTGTTAATGGGGGGTACTGTTGTACTCGTGAGACATCGCTGATTACAAATATGTGCATTTTTTTGCAGTAAAACCTAACAGTATTATGACATTTACAGCTAAAATGTGAGGTGGAACTACAATTTTTTTTTAATAATTTAAAATCTCACAGTTTTTTAAATTTTATTCATAATAAATTATGTTTCATATATAAATATTTGATATGAAATGAAAGCCCTGTTTCTCCTGAACAAAATGATATATAATAAGGGTGGGTGCATATAACATGAAAGAGGTGAATTACGGTTGAACAGACATATAGCGCAAATTCCAGTTTTATGTTTTGTTTTGATCAGAACGTGTACTATTGACTCCGTCCTGAAGGGGTTAATGAATAATTCCATTGGCTGCTGATTCTCAGAAATATTCTTCTGTGTCTTACAATGATCCAGATGATATTGATATATCCTATGGAACAGATTTGAGCAATCCCTAAATAACGCATTATGGAGAAGACTTCTACAGTCTTGAGAGCCTGTACTGCAGGGTCCTTCACAGTAAACTTGTAAATAAAGAAGACAGGCCAGTGTCCACGTGCAGGAATGTCCATTTTGCTGTTGTGCACATCATTTTCTTACAGTGGTCAACCCAATAGTTCTGTAAATGCACTGGAGGTGTTTTTCAAACTACTTTTCAAATGATAGTGTAAAAGGGTGTTCCTGCATACCTGGAGTGTCCTATGCACACTTATCAAGGGTAAATTTCTACTTGCCAAAGATACACTTTTACACACCAATTGCTGGTGTTGCATGCCCAGTGCACCGGCGGTTTTACATAGACCTTGACTCTCATCATCATGTGAGAGTCAACACTGAGGAAGTCGGGGAAGGTTAGTATTGACCAAGATGGCCAATGGCAAAATTGTCAAAGGATGTGGACTTTGAAAAAAGCTCACTTTTTTGTAGTCAACGTTCGCAGTTCTACATAAGTCCTTACATTTCCTTATGTATCACTTTGAAAATAAGCGACTTTTAAAAATAAAAGGTCAACCGAAGAAAGGGATTTGGGATATGCGGGTGAAAAAAAGTTTAAAAAAAAAACATACTCACTTTAAGCATCCTGCTGTCTTGTGGAATCTTCCATAGATTTTTGTTTTGTACTCTTGTGCATGAGTTCTCTTGGCAGATAAATGGAAAATGGATAGGAGGCTAAGAAAGAAGATGGTAGTACCCAAGCAAGAGGGATTTATGTAGCTTCTCCCAGCACTACCACACAAACAGGCTTGTTATTTCAGTAGAGAATAAAGGGGAAGGTGGGGGGAGATGCAAAGACTCCAAAAGTGACAGAGCGTCCCCATCCTATTTTGGTGAGTATCCAATTACAATAGCTATTTCTTAAATACTAAAGAGTGTGGTAAAGCTGTGTTGCAAAGTTGATTTTATTCCATATAAGGACAAAATGTGTTTCTTACCTGACAAATTAATTTCATTCTGGATCATGAGAGCCCACAAATTGTCACATATGTGACAAAGTACCTCATAATCAAGGTAGCTTGAAATACTCATAATGCAAAGTTCCAGCATGTTAAATCTTCTCTAGCTCCTCCAATTTTACATTTAGCCAAGCAAATGAGGAAGGACTTTGTGGGTTTTCACCACCTGAAAGAAAATTTTGTCGGGTAAGATACACATTTTGTTTTCCTTACTTGGATGGTGAAAGACCATGAATCGTGACATATAGGATTTTATACCCAAACAGAGCAGGACATGAGGCCACCTCAAAAAAACAACTACACATTAGACTGCCAGCATGGTGTTAGGGCAAAAACATTTAAGCTGAGGGGTTGCACAAAAACCATTTACCTGTAAATGGACACCATTGGACCATACTGAACTCTGTGGCGTTGGGGCAGGGGTCCCCCTGTAGGGAGCACACCCTCAAATCCAGGCTTGAAAGATATTAAAAATCTTCTT